CGTTGAATTTAGCTTCTCAAACGCAAACGTACGAAGGGTCTCTTGTTTGAGAGTCAGATGAATATGATGGATCTGTTGCTGAAACTCCAGGTCTTCTTAACAATACCAAGTTTTTGGCCTATCCAAAGGTCAGAAATCAATTTTAGAGCTGCAACCGACAGACACATCTGTTATGCACACTGTTATAGGAAAATAGAAATGACTGACGAACAGAGTTTACTTCAATACCTCCTTGTTCCAGAGCTGTAAGGGGGGGGATGAGGGCGAAATTTATCATCACCATCTGGAGCAAGTCTGATGTAAGAAAACTCAGTTAGTAACTCATGTGAGGATAAGGATCATACACACAAAGCAGTTAGTGTAAGCACTAGGACCTGGACAAAGCTGGAGATGGATCTCTTTGAACAGACAGAGAGCGAAGGGTACTGGTAGCCCGCTGCACTGCAGCATACCGCACCATCTGCACTGCTGGAGTCTCTTGATTCCGTTTGTTACTGAAAGTGAAAGAATACTGCATTTCATTCATTTCTTTAAAGAACTCTGATACTACTTAACTTTGAAGAAACAAAATCAAAGGATGACTGGAAGCGCTATTCAAGAATTAGACAGTTAATTTTCAGAAACACTTCAAATCAAGATAGATTAAAAAACAATAAAAATTAAAAGAAGTCAAACAAATTGTTACGGCTGACTATGTCAAACTCACACTTCTTCCAAACTGAAAGTATAAAAAAAGACACACACACACACACAAGAACACACTCACCCCCATACATCTTCACAAACATCAAATATAGAATCAAAATAATCACTTGACCCATCATCCCTGTCCAAAATCATCCAGTTTACAAAAGCCCTTCTGAAAGCTATACATCATTTTCTTTCATTTAAAAACAAAAATGTTAAGATGAACTTCTGTACTTACATTCCCTCATGATGAAAGCACAATATTGATGACAAGAGAATAGCCAGTATAATCATAACTAGCATTGGCACAAGAATTGACAAAAGAAACTCATGAACATACGATCGTTCGGGAGCTTCCCAGCGAGATGGACTGTGCCATAAGTCCAAATTCATTAGTGCAAGGGTAGGCTTTCCGTGGTGGTGATGCATGTGATGATCAAGGAATGTATGACTATCCTGGGTCTGACTCTGATTTTCAATTGCCTGAAACGTATAGAGGTTGACATATTAGTTTCACTAAAATTAAAAATAATATTGATTTCTGAAATTTGACAATGAAAGACATACCAGCCTGAAAGCACACCAGTCTATTTCAAAGTTAAGTTGACGGAACAGGCGATCAACTGTGGTCCGTTTGAAATCACGAGGACAAGGGGCTAATTTCCTTAATTTCTCTAACGGGTTTGTTTCATTTTGAAGACGCAACAGACTGTCAGAAAAACTAGAAGCGCTACCAAGAAAAATGACCACTCTGCAGAATAGAATTACAATATAGGAATTAGTCGAATTAGTTCATCTGTAGAACAAATAATTATACAGGGTGGTCCACAGACACCTTCCTTTATTTTGCTGTACCGGGAAGCATACTCACACGAGGCCATAAGGCGCCCATGGTGAGCGACAGTAGGCAAGCACGCCCGCACGCATGCATGCGGTACAGTATAAGCAAAATAAAGGAAGGGGTCTGTGGACCACCCTGTAGAATAAATGGAGAAATTATTCATGAGTAGAAAAATAGTACCCCTCCTTTTCTTCTGGTCTTAGAGGGAGCCGGGCTCCAAGATGAACAGCAGATCCAAAGAAAGAAACATGCAAGTCATGGGTAGCTTCAGTCCACAACTCATCCCGAAAAATGCTCAGTAAATCTTCAAGATAGTGAGGCTCAAATAAGTCCTCCACTGACAGATTGTCAATTTTGAGATGTACGTGGAAACGTGCAGGTTCTACAACAACAAATACAAGAAATATAGCTATTTGTAGGGTCATATTCATTAGCATAACAATTTATCAGATCACTTGTTTGGGAATCAGTTCCCCAAAGGCTATAGGAACTGATTTGGACGGAGTTTGCTTCATCAAGAAGTGTACACACCTTTTCGTGGGAGAACTATAAATTTCATGATCCTGTGACTTGTATCATAACTATTACGATCAACAGCCACAAACTCCATCTACAGAAAATCAAGTGAAAATTGTTATGGTAGTATTGGTACTGTAATAGCTAAAATGGAATACAGATCAACTCACGGTAAAATCTGGCTGATGAGCAGGTGGAGTGCCATAAACAAATCCAGACTGGTGGGTTTGACTGTAGACATAATGCATCCAAGATGGTAAATCTGGTGAGTCAAGGAGGCTGGTTCGATACAAATATCGATTAAAATTTCCTGCATCAATAGATAAAACTTAAAAGACCTCCAATGACAGAAAACCTAGTGCCCAATCGATGTACTGTTTTCTTATTTCTTAACAGTAAAAAAAATATATGTAAATACCTGAAGCATTATCGGCATTATCAGAAGTATTCCACTTAAACAGTTGGGGTTCAACTTTCAGCGTAAAAACTTTAGTGCTTATAACACATCTCGTTAACATTTCCTTACACCTTGGATCCCCTTCGAATTCCAATGCTGAAGTGCAGTATAGGCCAAACATAATCATTTGTGCTATGAGTAATATTGAAGACATTCTCCCGGCTTGAAATTCTTCTCTGGAGTACTCTGGAGGAAAATATAGGCCTATGCTGAGCTCTGCGAATGAACAGTGGGCAAACAAGAATAAAATCAAATGTATCTAAAGCACAGCGAATATATCACTGGAGTTTTCTGGTTGTAGCCTTCAGTTTCATTAAAAAAATGTAAACCTTAATTGTTAAAATTAAAAGTTTTGGCAAAGTTTCGACATTTTACGTGTAAACTAAGTACGAAAACAATCAGAAAACAGCAACAACAACCAGACGAATTTAGCAGACAACATCGATTGTCTTTTGTCTTCTGTTTGTGGAAAATAAAAAGGAAAACCCGAAGCTTGAAGAACAGAGGAACGAAATTAAGGAACTGGGTCATACAAATGGATCCTGAGCCGCAAATCTTCCAGGCGATTCTGCCGATATGGACGCTTCCTAATGTTTCTATTTCAGCAATTAAGTTCAAGCCTCAAAATATTTCCCATCGAATTCAATTCGAAAAGTGTGTATCACTGTGTTTCATATTGGAACCATTTTGGAACCACCTTTTCTTGCTTCTGCATTGACGTCAGAAGTGTAAGTAGGCGTGGCTATGCGCAGAACGGCAAGGCAAATGGGGCGAAACACTTGTTTTGCAACGCTAATGAATCTTGGATAAATATGTAGTTCAAATGTTGTTGAATGTTGTGATCTTGGAATATCTAACTTTATTAACATGATTCCACATTTGGCCCTTTTTGTGACTGAAATTTATTGAATTGTATTCGCCTTTGATAACTTTTCAGCAGAAGATACGATATGGCCGCCGTCACCGATGCCCTATTTGTGACGGCTAACGTAGGATCGATTTTCGAAGATGTAAGTTTATTTATTAGTGATCTTTAAATAACAGTACGTCTCGTGGCCATCACGCACGATTTTCAGTTTGTCACTCAGTAACTGCCATGTACAGTGATTGGCAGGTTATCGTTTATTGACATCAAAAATAACATTATTGGCAGTACAAACAGACAATAAAAGTTAACTTTTCACCGCAATTTTCATTAAACAGACAGTTTGATGGTCAAAGTTAAACTAGCGCTTTGTAATTTTTCTTTATTTACATTGCTAACAGGGTGCAGTCTGGGAAAAATGATTAAACTGTATTTGATTAACCTATTTGATTAGAGTGGGTGAATACAGACAGAGCAATCACTATTTCATTGTTGTTTATTTTTATTTCAATGAGTTGGTTATTTATTTTTTTATAATATAACTAAAATGTAATACCTTGACAGTTGTCATTATCATACTGTTCCTTTCTGTACCAAAAACAGCCAACTTCAATGTTGAAAATATGGTGTGATGAGTTTTTGAATGTGAGTACTCTCCTGTTGTGAGGAATGGTAGTAGTTTTGACTATATTATTAGGTATTTCATATTTTCCTTTGCCATTAGACAATCTCCCGAATATCACCAAAAGTGATAGCACTGCACTGCCAAGAAGTCGGTGGCAAAAACTATGAACGCAGTATGCAACATGTTTCAGAATTTGTCAAGTAAGTTAAGTACTGTGGGAATTTCAATAACAATAACAGTATTCTAACAGACATATCTTTAGGCTGCTTATGTCAAGTGAAGAGCTGCAACCTTTTAACAAAGTAAGAATATTTTTGGATGAAGACTACTCCTCTGCTGAGCACTTCACTGTGAGTACCTTTGCGCTAAGACTGGGAAAATGTTGCTATTAATGCTGGTATCTAACTCAATTATTAGATTGATTGTGACTTGTTTCTTCCCTTCCTCTAGGCTTTGGGAAACTTTTATTTCATACACGAATCCATTCCAGATGAACATGTTCAGATTTTCAATTTCCAAGGTTTGTACTAAAATGATGTTGAAGTTATGAGTGTAATTTACCAGTGATACATTTTTTTTATTAAAAAACACCCCCCCCCCCCTTTTTCCTGTCCCTCAAAAAATTTAGAGAATAAATTTGAATGTGTTCTTGGAAAGGAGGTATTCTCAGAAAACATTGAAGATGTTCCAACAAAAGAAAAATCCAAATTTCCTCAAGAAATATTTCCAGAGGTTTGTGAGTTCTTTGAGTTCTTGTCTAACAAGAGAGAAATTTAATGGAAAGTATGTGTTGAGCTTGCTTTTGGATGATTATGTTTCTAATTCCAAATCGTATTTCTGTCTTTGTAGTGCAAGTGGTCTCGTAAAGGTTTCATGCGTACTCGTTGGAATTTAAATGGAACTACTTTCGATCTTGTCAATATTCATCTGTTCCATGACGCTTCAAATTTTGTTGCTATGGAATCGGTATGTACATGTCTTTTGTTTACTCATAATATTTTTCAATATCCGCTTTTTGTCAAAATTTGTGTTATTTTCCTCTAAGAAGTGTTACATTTATCTGTGTTCGAAATTTTAGTTTCCATCAGTGTATTGTAAAAACCGACAGAGGGCACTTGACCACACCCTGAAGAGGTAAAATATTATCTTTTCAAATCTGTATTTTTTAATCATTCTTTCCTTCCTTCTTCTTTCAATACTGCCTCCTAGATATTGCATGTTTAAAAAATTTCACGGGCTTTCATTACACTGCTTTTTTTTCCTGAAGCCATTGTAAGATATCTTTTTCATACTGTGTACCAGTAGGCCTGGTTCGATTTGTTATTTATAATCCTTGGAAATCCTTTGCCATATTTGGTACTATGGAAGTTATTCTGCTAACATTAATTGTTTCTGTAAAAGATAATGTGGTTGAGAATGTTTTTTAAGTATAAAATGCTCTAAGCCCCTAGTTTTCATTGCACTTATGGCATCAAGTCTTTAGTGTAATGTGAACCTTCCTGACTGTTCAGTGGGTTTGCTTTTAGTTACATCAAGAGGAAGTGCTTTTCTTAAAAGTAATTTATGCTCTATTTTATAATAATTTTGCTCCACTTTGCATGCACGTTTTCTTCCAGGTTTCACACCGACCAATATGGAAGTGTTCCATTTTTCGTGTTTGGAGATTTTAACTTCCGGACTGATACACAAGGGGTAGTCAAGGTAATGGGCATTGCTTTAAGAAAGTACTACCTGAGCTATTTAAAAACTATCACTGGTTGAAATTGTGAATTTTGGCATACTTTTTAGGTGATCAAAGTCAACAAAATCTTGATGTGTCATATTTTCTCAATTTATCTGTAGATCATAGAATGCTACTTTTAGTTTTTATCTTGATACTCACCTTCTACATTAGCATGAGACTTTCTGTCTCTCTATAGTATATTTTCTGGACATGATCAGAGCTTAATGCTTCATAGAGGAAGATCAGGCTTCATTTGTTTTGAAAAATTGCACTCTTTGAATATTCACAAAAATTATCAGGCACACAGCTTTGAATTGAGACTAACATGTTTTTGACCTCTCCATTCTTATATATGTATCTAGATGAGATAAGTGAAAGAGGCCATCCCTAGTGACATAAAATAGTCATACAACTGTCAAGTAGATGTCAAAACCAGGATACAGACTATTAGCGTGATATGTGAAATATAGTGATTCTTCTATCGCTCGACAATTTTTTCTCTCAAACTTAGAATTCTATTGATTAACCATCCTGATAGTAATAAGCCATCAGGATGAATTTGGGCAGTGAATTAATTCAGTAAAATGGGATGGTGAAATACGCAAATTAATTTTGATGCACAAATGAGCGTCTGAATTTTATAAATCATCGATGTCAGGTCACTGTCAATGTTCCCATAGTTATCTGCTAAATATTTCTCCAGAATGTATAACAATATAATGTTACTGGAGATGCCTGTGGCTAACTTCAAGTGTTCATCTTAAAATGCTTGAAGTAAAGGACAAGGTCTGATTTCAAATAACTTAGAAATATATCATTTGTTGTTTTTTTTTTACAGAAACTATCAGAGGGCTTGAATGCTGTAAAAGTTCAAAGCAGCAAAAGTACTGATCATACAAAGCTGCAGTACCGGGACGAGTCTAGTCAGGTAAATCAAACTTTCTACTGAAAGTGGCTTTGCTCTTGTCATCATCATCCTAATGTTTTATGTGTTTTGGATTTCCTGATTAGCAAGTAGTCTTAACTTTGGGCAAAAAGGAATTCAGTCACCTAGATCATCAAAAACTTTTTGTTGGTGGCGACAGTGAATGGGTAAGTTTTTTGTGTCTTTTTCCTTCTTTGTTTCTTACTTGTTTGGGTTTAATTATTTATCAGTCTATGAAATTACATGCTAATTCTGTTACATTCATATTGTTTTCCATCCTGAACTTACTCAAAAATGCTCTTACCATTACCAGCTCAGGGAATTTGATCGAGAGCTAGATTCTTTTGATGATCAGTTGTTCGAATTCACTATAAATTTCCCTCCAAGTTATCCCTATGTGGAAGATTCTGAAAGGGGAGAGTTTTACATGCAAACTCGGTGCCCATCATGGTGTGACCGAGTTTTCCTCAGTTCAAGTGCTCGCTCACTTGTGGACAGTGTAAGTTTGATTTAGCTCTAAGCTTTCATATTCCGTTCCAATTCAAATTCTTAATATTTATTCCTTTCTTTAGGCCACTGAAGATTCTCCTTTGGAGTATGGATTAATTGGCTTAAATGCTTGTATGGGTGATCACAAGGTATGTTCAGAACTCATTATACAATATTTAAATTATTTTATACTTTTATAAATAAACTACAATTTAGTGGAAGTCTTTTTATTGTCAGAGTAGTGCTTCCCATTCTATATGATGAATTTAAAATTATTTAATGTAAAACTGCTCAGTTTTCTTTCAATTTTACTGACAAAGGCTGAAGTTTACCGATGCTAAGTCAAAACTCGTTAGTACGAACCCCGGATACAACGATTTCCCCATTATAACGATTTTTTCTGCCGTCCCATGGCATAAGTTTGCTTATTAATACTATCGGACACAACGATTTCCCCGTTATAGCGTTTTTGGACCGCGGCCCCAGTGGAGTCGCACTAACGGAAATTGACTATTAAGGTCTTTTGAGAATCTAATGTGAACCACGTCAAATGTACTACTTCCTTGTTTTGTAATTTCTTTTTGTGTTTTGGCATATTTTATTGTAGAGAAATAAGTGTTATTTGTTTTGGGTCCGAGAGTGTCATTGTATTGCGTAGTTCTGTCACTGTATTCTTAGCCTTGCATGCAGATCATGTGGAAGTGATAAATATTTTGTGCCCCTCTTAAAGATTAATGGGTTATTCTTTTGTTTTTTCCTTTTCAAATATTGGGTGCAGCCAGTCTTTTTGGATTTTAAAATGAAATACGGCTTTAGCAGGTACTCCAATCCTCATATTCCACCTTGAGCTGAATGTTATTGAATATCGAATGTCCCTGCCGTATTTTAATAGTTGCATCCATCTTAGTCCTGACTATTGTCGTTGAAGAAATCCTGCCAGAATTATTTTTTTATCCATACCTAAGGTTACATTTATTTCTAGTAGACACCTTTTAAATTACAAAGAAATGAATGTATTGGAATAATTCTGTAAGTGCTTGTGTTGTGATATTTGATTTGTGCTCTGTTACTAGTAAATATTCTTAAGGGGAATCCTAGTGTAGCAGCTCATAAACAAGGATGTTTTTGGTGTTTGTTTCTTTTGTTTGTTTTACAAAAGAACTATGGCTGTCATTGAAAAGTGGTGAATACTGTTTACTGTTTGATAGTAGGTACTTTCTTGCAAAAAATATAAATGGTCCCAATATCTTTATCGCAACAGAAGAAAAGTGCTGCTGAAGGGGAGCGTGTAGTACCATGACGGGCGTACAGTTCCAGGTTGACTTGTTTGTCTGAAACAGTTGGGCAAAGTGGTTCTAGGCTCAGAAGGAACCTGGCTCTGGTCCGTACTAGAACTGTGAAGGTGAAATTATTTATAGTAATTTTCTACTCAAGCATTACTTTGAAAATTTTGCTTGAATTTTACTAGCTAAAGTTAAACTTGCTGGGTAAAATACTAAAAATCATTTCACCGCAAGAGTTCTAGTACGGGTCATAGTCAGGTTCCTTTTGAGCCTACAACTGCTATGCCCGACTATTTCAGACAAATGAGTTGACCTCGGGGTGAACGTCTGTTATGGTACTACATGCCAAAGAAGCCCCCCTTCAGCAGCGCTTTTCTCCCAGTAGGATTAAGATATCAACCAATTTTTGTTGTTCACTAGAAAGTACCTTCCATTTAAAAGTATTCACCACTTTTTAGCTGGGGGTGTAATTCCCTTTTTTTTTTTTTAATTACCAAAAGACCCTTGTTTTTGAGCTGCTACTCTAGGATCCCCCCTTAATAATGTGCTTTGTCCTTCATGCTCTTTTCTTTGGCACTCAATAATAGAGAATGCGCTATGACTTTTGATTCATTGAGGCTGCTTACAAATTTTGTAACTCTGTCAAAGAAATGGATCCTGCTCATACCTTTGTTCCGGTACATAGTGCCATATTTTTTGTATACTAAAATTTGCTAGATTGTATCAGTAGTAGTGAAAGCCACTTTAACATCTTCGATATATATAACTATATCTCGCTTTTAACTTTGGACTGGAACTTCAGCGTTGCAAATCAGCATAAGAAGAAACATTCGCATTTAATGTTTTCCGTATAGAACTTTGGGAAATCAGCACAAGCATAAGCGGCTTTTACTGTTCCATTGGGCTTGGGTCATAATGGAGTATTCTCATTATGTATCTATCTTCTTGGGTCTGTTTCTAATTTTTCATTCTGAAACTTTTTTTCATGCATTGATAGTTATTTTCTTTTAAATTAGTAGTAAATTGCTACTGTGAAAGCTGGTTTAGCTTTGTCTTGCCATTTCAGTACCACTTCATTTTATCACCAATATTACTACGCACCAAAACTTATGCTTGATTTTTCTCAATATCTTTGGTTTTTAATTTTATGTATTTAGCCTCAGTTTGTCAAGCTCTTAGAATTCTCATGTTCTCTACAACCTTTGTTTGTTCTTTTGTTTCAGCCTGTCTTCCTCCGAGCAGCTCTGATAGCTGGACTAGGTACGGTGAGTTGTTGCGCATTGCCAACTGCCCTTTGCACGTCCTGCTTGAGTGCTGCCACTCCTGTAGAGCACAATTGTCGTCTGTGTGCTGAACGAACAGTAGAATCATCCTCATTTCCTCTCTTTGCTGAACCTGAACAAGACCATAGTGGACTTGTTGTTCCCAAATTTCACCGTCACACTTCTCCATATACTCCTGATAGTACAGACACTGAACCAGATTTAGGTGAAGAGTTGTCTAGAGAAGAACCGTTCTTTATGAAGATCAAAAGTGATAGACGCTTAAGTCGTTTTGATACATCACCAAGGAAACGTCTCCAAATAGCAGATGGACAGCATGAAGATATTGAAGAGGATGAAAATGTGAATTTGAAGAGCCATAAAATGTCCTCAAAAATTCCAGTTCGTGTCACAGACTTAAAAGAAACCAACTCCCTCACCAAAGTGCAAATTTCAAAACTCCCAGTTCCCAAAATAGTCAGTGCAAAACAAGATAAGGATTCAAATTTGAAAGGTAGAAATAAGTACCCATCTGCATCAGCCTCTAAAGATAATCTGGATAATAGATTACATCTGATGAATGATAATTCCTCTTCTTCCATTCATGGTAATGTGTTTATAGAAGATATTAGTTTGATCCCCAAGCCTAAATCAGCAGATGGGAGGAAGTTGTTATGCAGACAAATCCATGTTGATGAAAACAGTAGTGATTCTGATACTCCGAGTGCAGAAATAGGTGAGGATCAGTACCCAGCTCCAGAACAGAGATCTGAGGAATCCAAAGTAGAAATTCAGTTTTCTCTCGTTGAGACTTCTCCTACCTTACTATCACCCATTGATTGTGAGTCAGATGGCCTATTAACAACCAAAGGGCATGGTTTGGGTGGCTCTACAACTGATAGTGGTGTATCTGTTTCTCCAGATTTGTCTGTTGCTACCTCTCCATCTACTGATGGTCAAGATAAAGTTGTACATGAAACGATTTCTAATGTTGAATCAAATTATGAGGTTGGCTCTAATGGTGAGATCAATTCATCATCTCTCGAGAGGTTTACTTTTGTGCGTAGGATTCAGTCTGCGTCTGCTATGGAAAGGAAGAGCTCTTTTCCTTTTCCATCGTCTATTTACATTGAAAATGATCAAACATTAGGTGGGTTTGGTGGTTCAGGATCAAACCTTTGGGGAATGCGCACTTGCAGATGCATGAGTGATGGGTCCTGGAGGCAACGATCATCAACTATATCTCACTCTATGCTCAGTTCTAAGACTGATTCAAGAATCCGATTGATTTCAACTAGCTCTCACTTGGATAGATCATTGCCTCGTTTACAAAGTCACCACAGTTCATCAGATGAAGAGTGGTTTGAAGAAATTACAAGTGAATCGCATGAAGATTTAAAATTGGAACATGGACAGCCACTTAATAGTGATGGCGTTCAAGCCAAACGCAATGTTGACCTCTCAAAACGCCTCTCAACTCATCAGGAATGTTTGCGTGAGAAGACCTCCGACCCAAACCTCACTTGTGAGAGTGATTGCCAAACTACAACTGGAATGGATATTCAGCAAGACAATATTCAACCATCTAAAACTCGGGACCATCAAAGTGGGAACCATGATTTTCAAGGTACATTTGCACAATCACCTTTAGAGCAATTAAGTAAGTTCAAGCAAAATTGCTCTCTGAAAGTAGAAATTCAACCCCAAGATACATTAGAGGAATTGCCTGAGTCCACTACGAATGATTGTCTTCTCAAACACACCGGAGCTTCGCTCAACTATGATGAATCAAAAACTCATGCAGGGAAAGCACTTCTGCAAAGAAGATCTTCGGTTATTTCCAACAGTTCCAAAACCCCAAACTCTAAAAGCTGTAAGGCTTGTTGCACTGTTTTGTGACCAGCCATTTGTATTTATGGCTGCTTTCATTTCCTTCTTAAGCAATTCTAGATGTGTAGCAATAAGTAAATAAAATAGCTGTAAGAGCCATAACCATTGCCAACAATGTTTGAACATCAGTCTTACTGTATCTCAGCATCATAACATATATAACTGAGGTTGCCTCTCCATGGACCTCATACACTTCATAAAATATTTACCATGCAATTCATTTTTGTTCTGGCACTAACCTAGACTATGGTCTTTTTTTTATATTGTCACTTTTAGTTACACCTGCACATCATAGAATTAGAAGTCCCACAATGAAAGACTGTTAATGACTGCACATCAAAGCCCATTACTTTCAAACATGACTTGAATTTGAAAGATTGTAAATTATTTTTAAGGGAAATGACAATGGACTTTTTCACTGTGGGACCGCCAAACGCAAGTGTGTTACCAACAATTATTTCTCTGTCAGATATTAGAGATATAGTTTTATTGGTTGAAGAGTCATAATTATAACAAAATTAGAATTGTAAGACCTGGCTCTTCAAACAAAGAGGAAAGGTGGGTCATCCATGTTGCAGTTCAAACTTTATTCTAATTATAATGTTGTTTTATTAGGTATGTACTAAGAGTGCCCCCTTTAGAGGTTCCCCCATGTACTATTTTAATATATTAAATATAATTTTCATTAACAAATAAGAAGAAATGTTAAGAAATATTATTAGTGACGAAGCAATATTGCAATACATACAAAATATTTAGGACTTATTGAATGGGGGGAGGGGGCATATTGTGGGGGACATAATTTTTTTTGCCTATTTAAACACGGATTGTATTGCTAATTGTCTGCCCATTAGGCGTCTTTTCAAGGTCATGACTCGCCTCCCTCCCTCCCTATGCCTGCATTTATATATGTTCCACCAGACTCTGCCTTATCATTGACCCTGCCATTCTCATTTGTTGTGTACAACAAACAACATCAAAGTTCGGTTTCGTACAGAGAGCCTGGTGCCTTGACCAACACATCACTGCTATTTGAAAGCCAGTTATACTTTGTTTTCTTTCCTTTTCCTATGTGTTTCATTGTGTACACTAATATTGGGCGCAGTGATTCCATGTACGAAAAGTTAAGACATACTCTTTTTGTTACAACAATCCAATTGGAGTGGGTGCAGTAATTTCCTCAAGAACCTGAAACAGTAACCTCCTACAGTTACGGCATCCACTTGTCCTAACCCCTGCAGTGGAGGCTCTCAACATTAGAAGTGGGACAGAAAATTAGATCAAAGGAGAAATTGATTTTAATACACAAGCAAACAGCAGGTATGTGTAAGTCATGGCTCTTAGACACTCAGTATGAAGCACAAAACCTTTGTGCTAATGGTTGGCTCCAACTAATGAAATCAATGTTTTACCTTTCTGTCCCATAATTTTAAACAATTTTTGTAATAAATATGGAATAAAATCCCAGAGGGGGCACCTCTAGAGGGGATACCTTTGCAACTTCCCCCTTTATCCTTTTTAAACTGGAAATCTGTTCTTGGTAGAGAAAAATCTTAAAGCTTCTTTCTATTTTCATAAGTTTGTAAAACAGGGAGTGTTCTAGTTTCTTGTCTTTTGTCTATCTTTTAATGAATGTCAGAAAGAAGCCATGTAATTTTGATTTTCCCCCCAAAAATGACCTCAAATCTAAAATGGTAATAATTTATTATTCTGATTCTAAAGTTAAGTATACAACAAGAAGAAATAACCAATTTGCTTTGTGTACATCCAATAGATTTTTCAATATAGCTTTCCTTTCTGCCACCAAATCCTTGCCGATGAAAGTGTAATGAAGTATGTTGTACAGGCTGTTTATTTGCCATACCATTCTGCCTCAGGAAATCTTTCCAGCATTGTCATGTCGTACAGTTATGTGCCATTCAATAATCAAAGTTCAAAATTGGGTAATGTTGGTCTAGTGCCACCCAAAGCCAGAACCAATTGCCTGGGTGAACCAGCTGATATTTGTGTTTCCTCTTCATGTTCCCAGTAGACAGGGGATTTTTTACATCAAACTGATTGAAAGCACTCGAGGAAGAACAAAGTAACTTGTTAATGTTTACTGTGATTTCTTGTGTTAATACCAAGCAGATATCAAGAAAAAAAAGGTTCTTGAAAAGTTATTGATCTGTTTTTCTAATCTTAAGAACATTTCTCACAACTCCCATTGGTAGAGAAACTTATCTAGATGTGTCTGAAATCCATGTGCCTTATACATACATTTTTTGTATTGACCTGTGTATTTTAGAGAGGTTGAGATTAAGAGTTCTGGAATGGATTGTGAAGTTGGTCTTGCATCAGCATTGTAGTGTAGCTCTCACATAATACATATTCAATACTAATTGTTGTGGCCTGTTATAGGCTCAAACAAATTCCATTGATGGGCCATACGAATTATGAGTCCTCGCGATGATGCAGGTTTAGGATCTTCTAGACATGCTTTTGTGGTTATCCTATATGTTGCTGCATTTCCAGTGATAGTAATTTTAGTTCAATATTTTACTTTTTCTGGTTAGTTTTAGCTTTGAAATAATCCTGGGCAAAGATTGGCATTCATTTGAATATCCCAGTGTACCCATTTTACTCTCCTAAGATTTATTGATCTGGTCCTTTTTATTTATAACACTTATCATTGATAAAGTGAACTTTTTCCCAATTTCACTGCATTTCAATCTAACAATCAATCTAATTCCCCTAAATGTTAGAATTAGAGACAGCAATTGGATATAGATTCCCCTTAGATCAGAGCCAAGAGCTTCAGAATCTCATATAAATGAGTTGAAGACTAAAATAAAGCGTTGTTTGTGTAAAGTCATTTTACTATTGTGTTTGTGAAGTGCAAGCAACTATTTGTAAATCAAGCATAAACTTGCAATTGCACATTTCTTGCTAACAGTGGATATTTATGTTCCTATGTTCGATTTTTCTGTGATTACTCAACATAGGTGTCCGAAAACGTACAGAGGTCCCCCTCCCCCGGAAATTTTTAAAATATTCAATTTCGTGTTCTTGTGCTGGGAATGGGAATATACATGGATATTCGATACCATTCAAATATTTCATCAAATGGCTTATTCCATGTCATGTGTTGTATATTTCAAAATATACAGTCGTCGATCTAAATTTATTTCGTATGTTGATTGTCTGCATCTTGCAGTGCACTACAGGGCTGATTTTGTAGAAACACAAGTCATCCACTATAGGATACACAACAATGACTTGTTTTTCTGCAAAATCAGCCCTGTAGTGCACTACAAACCAAACAGTGCACTGAGAACATGCGACATGCACCTTTGCACAGGGGTAACTCTGTACGTTTTCTCTTGAAACTTAGCCAACAATCCAATGTCTCTTGTACTTTTAGGTCAGAATACTTTTAGTTTACAACAAATATCATACAAATTAATATAATGAAAGAGCCAATCATTTTCTTTGCAATTTTAATTTTGGAAGAGAAAAATATAAAATATACAGTAGCTCCACTTTTATGTATTTGTATTCCATAATGGAGTACCAGAAGTTGTACTGTGTTATTTGCTATGTTGAAAATCTTGTTACCTTTTTTATAATACATTTTAGGTTAGTTTATCCCAAATCAGTTTGTGTTTTCAGTTGGAATATAAAATGTATCTTGCTGATTAGATCAGTTATGCACTTGGTTCTACAGTATTAGTGTGCAACTTGTTCAATTTTTAATCCGTTGGTGAACAGAATAGCCGAATAGGCTGCTACTCAAGTCTTCATTCTCCCAATAGCTTTTTGAAATCTATTATTGTGGGATTTACATTTGTTTTTTTGTTTTTTTTTTATTTAGTTTGGTAATGCCCAAATCATATTTCTAATCAAAGGTGTATCAAAGTCCCATTAAATCAACATTTTTTGACTCTTACTATTGGTATTTTCTTTATTTCATTCTCTCAAAATACATGGTTGGTGTAATTGGGCAGGATCTTTAATCTCATGATAGGGCTAATAATTTAAATCTCTTTCTTACGGGCCTAACTCTTTCTTTAGAGATACGTATGCATATAAAACTCTATGTGATGGTGTCTTACAATAACGATATATTGGTGGTGCCAACTGTACCTGATTATTATATTGGGGTGGGAACTATAGCTCCACCGCCCCCCCCCCCCCCCCCAAATTTAAAAAAAAAAAAAAATCAGAAAAAATACTAGGTAGGGTACTACTTAATCTAATAGAAAAATCAGTTACCTATACTAAAAGTCTTTTCAGAAGTTGCAGTTTAGGTTTTTGTGAACAGGTAAAATGAAAATTGCAGCGTCAATAGTGAAGGGATGTGTCAAAAACTATATACTTGTATTTTTTGGTTCCTTTTATTGATTGATTAGTGGACCCTTTCCTTACACAGATACATATGATCCGTTTATAGTCGCCTGTGTTTCAGTTTTTAATGTATTTTTCTTAGTTTGACAGCACTTAAAAGCTTTATAATGCAAATGCAATTTGTGTTGCATCACTACAACTTAAAATACTGACCTTGTCTCTATGCTTCAATTTTATTCTACTAAAGCACAGTATTTACTTTTCCTTTCTGTTTTGAAAATAAATTACAAGCATTTTAGAGTGGCTGCTGCACTTGTATTTTGAGGTGCATGATAAATCTTTGTAGATTTGTAGAAGAGTAAAGTCATTGAAGGTTTTTAAACGCAGAGACAGTACGTGCTGAGCTTGTGTGGATTAGAGTTTGTCCTTAGAAAATATCTGTGAGCACATTTCTGTTTTCCTCCTCCCACTCCCGTCCTTTCAACTATTAGCTTTGTTTGGCATGATTAAAAAAAAAAAATGTTCGTATTTTATGAGTCACGATGCGTAATCTTTTCTGCAGGTAAGTGTTCACAATGCTGTATTTTGCTAAGCCTCTTTTATATGTTTTCATACTTATTGTCTTTGCAGGAACCAGCATTCAAGAAACTAATCATCAAGAAGAAATGGATTTACTTTCTACTAGACGCAACACCAGTGAAACAACTGATGACACTGAAAATAAATTTAAGTCTGAAGACAGTCCACTTCAGAGTGCACATGAATGTCAGTCAAAGGATGAGGAACTTGATGAAGCTACCATCATAAAAAACCATCTTGATCCAGTGCCTTTCCCAGAACCAGCATATGACCGATCCCCACCGTACAGGTACATCTTGTGGAGTGAAAGTAGAAGTCCAATTAAAGTCTTCAAAGAAACAGCAGTTTAGTACTTGACCTTATGAGAATGGCCATCCCCACAAGACTTGGCATTGCATTGCATTTATTCTTTTCAGGTTTTCCATAAACCTCTAATTTTTTTTGAATGTTGTAATTTTGACCAATGAGTCAAAATGATTTAATTTTTTCTCGGTTACCACTGGGTTGTTTTTATCATCAGTCTTGAAAAATAGTACTTCTTAATAATTGTTTTTACACCCATCAGAGATTCTCTTATACCTTCTTTATAGAAAGGGCACAGTATGCTAAAGAAACTTTTTTACCTAAATTAGATGAGCCAATAGTCTAACTCAAAGAAGTTTTACTTCACACTCAGAAAAATACTATTTGCATTCCAATAAGTCATGTACCACATGTATCCTTAAAGATATTCTTGTTCTCTCTGGTTTTTGATAGTTTCTTGATCTTACTAGTATTCTCATCCTACTCTCTCAGTGAATAGGAAAGTATGTAGATTAAGATCTCATAACATATTTAGTGTTAGAACATACATCATGTTAAAATTTGTCTTCTCTAGTCTTTTTTCAACCAATGTTTCTGACTTTGGATAACTTATTTACCACTGTCAGTATGTATCTAGACTTCCTAAAAATTGGTTTCAACTTGGTGTAATGACGACTACATACACTGAAAGGTTTCTAGTAGATAGTAGGATTTCTTTATCTAATTTGTGGTGGTCTGCTCTGCGCTCTGTACTTTTATGACGTTGGTGGTGAGGCAATCTGATCATTTAAAAAAAAAAACTAATCACAAAAGCACTAAAAACAAGGATGCACAAGTGATTAGGATTCAAAAGCATGTCAGTTGTATACATTTTTGTAATTATTCATTCAATGTATTTGGCAATGTTAAGAAAAATAAATGCATCTTTAGACTGACTGCTATATGGACTGAGATCTCAGAGAAAAATTTGTTTACCTTGAGGCAACAGAGTTTTACTTAATTTAACAGTTTCTCATGAAATTCTTCTCATTTATTTTGTTAAAATAGAAAAAGGGTAGACCAATGATATTTATTTTGTATTAGTTTGATAAGACTTGAAAATTGTGCCATCCATGTTCTTCATGTGATTCAAAGTGCTGCTCTATGGAAATCAAAATATTTTTAATTTCACAGGTTGTTTATATGCAAAGATTATTCGTTTTTGCCTAAAATGTCTCAGTTGTACAGAAATCAACATACTTATGATAGTAAAAACCAAAAGATTGCAAGGAGTGACTGAGTAGAACTAAGATCAAGTGGTATGGTATTGTAGAAATTTTGACTAAATATGTGTACAAGGACTTAATTCGACTTGCCACCTCACAGAACACCCCCAGTTTCGAACACAGTATGAACTGAGTATGCCTTATCAAAAATGGGTCCATGTAGAATCTAATTGACTGTTCAAAACTAACATAGTTGGCTCTCTTGTGGTCTTTTTGTTTTTGGTATTAAAAATTCAACTTCATATTTTCTCTCTTCAGTAACTTGTTTTACAATATGCTATATGCTTCATGAGAAAAGTAGGCTCTATCAATCACTAATGTATTTATCACCCACGTTAATACGTAACTGCTAGTCAAAACTCTTTTAGATTGTAATAGTGCACTGTGGTTTATATTTGTATTACTTTTCTTGTTTCAACTGTGTAGATCTTTAACTTTCTTCTTGTCACAAATTATCCGATAGACCAATTACCTAATCTTTACCTCAGTTTCAGTTTTTGTTGGTATTTAAGATTTGTCCTCTGTACTTCAGTGTGTAGATATGCATAATTTAATATGCTCTTATATGTTGCTTATGTGATCCATCCTCTTAAAATATACAACAATTGGAACAATCAATTTTTGTGGTAAAAATGTATTTTCATTTGTCATGTCTTTATTGAATACAATAGGTGTCACATTGCTCATTGCAATACACAAACAGCTGACTTTGCTCCAAGTGCTTGAGCTCTTTTCCCTGTGCTCTCAGGAACACCTGTCACATAAGTATCAGATATTTCAGCTCTGACAACTGGTTGATGTTCCTCTTGTTCAGCCCGAGAGAGTTTAAGACCTAACAGTTCTGCAGCCATTTTTTGGAAGAAAAGTGATATCTGAAAATCGAAAGAAGTGTTACAGTAGTATGAGGATACCTAAATGTCCTTGAAGCAGGGACCAGGAACTTAACTTAAAGCTGGGTTACAATACAGTGTTTGCATTTTGTATTGTAACAACGTATTCATTTTGATTTTTTATCTTACAATAACGGTAAAGGGTGAACCGGAACATTACCACAGTCCACAGTTGGTCGTTACTTCTGCATCATCTCCTCTTGCATGATGGATTTTACAATTACTCCGTGGTACTGAATTTGAAGGGGATATATTAAGTGCCGTGCACTAAAAGAATGCTAAAATAATTCAATATCAGGTTTTGTTACTTATTGAATAACATGTAAATTATAAGCCTGTTGTTGTGTAAGGTATGGGTGGACAAGTGCCACTCTGTAACTATAATGCAAAAATGTTACTGGTCCCTGGACTGAGCACTTGGAAAACTTACATTTTCTCCTGTGCGAGCAGACACTACATAAGAAAAAAATCCATGGTCAGAGGCAAACTTTTGTTGACGATCAATCCGAATCACTCTCTGGTGTTCCATGTCACCTGATAACCAATATTGAAAACAACATAACATGAGATATTGATGCTGAAATTACCATTAAAGAATGAACAGAGTAGCACTAACATTTGTTGCCTAAAACAGCACACAGGGCTGGTTTTCCCTGAGATGAATGAACTGCCTGTATCCACTGAGACAAGTTATCCAAACTTGAGGAGTTGGTTAGATCAATTACATAAATAACAACCTGTCACAATACCAAAATTATTTTCACCACAATTATTTTCTATTTTTCATTTTAAAGTATTAATGCATACATGTGCTCCAAATATATATTTGTCGAGCATTTTGCCATCGATAGATGAACCTCCAACATCCCAGAGTTGTATTGTTGCATCCCTGGTTCCATGAATAGTGGCTCGTTTCAAGAAGAAATCCACACCAGCAGTAGGGAAGTACTGCCTTGAGAACTCTTGATGGCAATATCTTCTAACTATACTGGTCTGTGTTATAACCATATAACAGAGAACATCACTATGTTAAACAAATCTTCCACAAATAATCCTTTATAAAATATGTGTAATAGATATGCAATGACAAAGAACAACAAACCTTCCCGGTCCCGGGATCACCAACAAGGACGAGTTTTAACTGCTTATCAAGACTTACTTCTTCCTCTGAGTCTGACATTTCGTTGGTATCAGAAGGTGCTTAATATTAGAAGTAAAGTCAAAATGTTTAAGCAACATACAAATTGAGGCCTTTTACATAGTGATTAACGTAAGGAGGGCAAAATATGCCATTAACCAAACTAGAAGCTTCCTTTCGTGGGTGTTCTAAACACTGATTTGATTCAAAATAGCTCTTAATCTTAACATGTTCATTTATTAATAATGGTAACTTGAAAGAGACTGGCCAACCAATGGAATTTCGCCAGTCATTCGGGTACGTGGAAGACGACGCGAGCCGCTCGACGCGCAGCGCAGCGGGCATACCTACGACGGAGTATCGGAAAATCGATCGCTTGCTCCCGTCAGCCCTCTCACGGGCCCTTAGCTGGCCGACAGCTGTCAAACAGAGTTTGGACATTGTCACTTGCCGGCTGACAGTAGCGCATTTAAGGTCGGAGATCTGATGACCAACCACGGAGATTAGGGGAACTCCCACACACCCACACTAGTAGTAAAATGGAGGACAGATCTCAGGTCTAGGTTTCAAGAGTATCTGTTAAAAAGAAAAACTTTAAGGTTTGTCATGGTATTTAATTAATAAGACTGAATACAATTTAATTGATATTGATTAAGACCTCATGATAACAATAATTTACCAGACAAGTCAGGCTCACATCTTCACCATGGAAGTAAAGTGGCACATATTACATAAAAAAAAATTAGATAATTAAAACACTAAAAGAAAGTGGTAAATTTGATGAAACTATGCTGAATGCCATGTTCAAAGCTGGTAACATCTCCTAGAGCCTGCAGGAACAACCAGATTGGCCCTGGCTACCTCCTCTTTTTGC